CATGTGTGCGTGTGGCACGTGCACCCCGAGACAGGTGGGACAGGCTACAGCTGGGGTGAACGAGAGACAGACTCATGTCCTGTGCACGACACACGCAGGCTGCAAACCCACGTAGAATACACGCATGCTCACGTGCACACACACGGGTGACTGCATGAATTGAGCACAAATCAGGAGGCAGAGCAGGACCCTCTGTGCACACCCAGTCCCTTCCTCTCACCTTGTCCAGCTTGGCCTCGATCTCAACTACATCCGTTTCCACCTCGTCGATAGTTGCCCTGCAATAAGAGTGAAGATGACTAAAGATCAACTGGGTCAGGCTGGGGCTTCATCTCCCCAGGCATCTCCCCGAAGGGGTCCGCAGTGGGAGGGGGCTGCTCGGACGATGGCTACTTGTTCCTGTTGGCCCACCTGCCGTCCACACCCCTCAGACAGGCCAGGAGATGGAGGCTGGGAGAGGCAGATGCTGCCCTGGGAGGAGGGGCAGGACTGGGACCCAGGTCCAGCTGACTCCAGAGCCGCCCAGGCCCACCACCACCCCAAGCAGGAAGAGGCCCAGTTGGCTGTGATGCCCCCATCTGGGGTCTGGCTACTGTGTCCCGGGGGAGAGAAGGTCAGACAAGCCCCTGAGGACAGAGGGAGGGGCCGGAGCCCCAGTGGAGGTGCACATGCAGGGCCGGGGCCAAGCCTTGCTGGCCACCCCCTTGGCCTGGCCCCCACCCCTCTCCAGGACTCAGAGTTGACCCCAGACCCCATCTGGACCCCAACCCTTGACCCTTCTGCTCCTGCTGCAGCCCACCCCGGCCTCGGCCCAGGGGACCCTAGAGCAGACCTGTCTCAGCCGGAACCCATGAGATCCCCACAGCTGCGGAGGGGTGACACCTGACTGCCCCCACCTCAAAACACCAAACAGCACAGTCTGCCTGGAAGGAGGGGTGTGTCAGCCTCAGAGGAGCCTATTCCCACCTGGGCAGCCTGACAACGGGGTTGCCTCGGGGACAGAAGAGTTAATGTATGACATCACCAGAGAAGCCACTGGCCGGAGAATCCCCAGAAGGCGAGAGGCAGATGGATCAGGCACGTGACCACCCCGCACCCCCCCCCCCCCCCGGAATAGGAAATAGGGAAACAGGGCCAGGATCCCAGCGCCCCCCCGCAACCCACTCAACTGGCTGGGAGCTGGGCCCATCTGGCCTCCTGGGGACAAGGGACGATGGGGATGGGGCTCAGGCCAGGCAAGGGCAGGCCGCCAGGGACAGGTCTTGGGCAGGGTCGGCGACGGGAAGCCTCCCAGTTCTAGTGGCCCCTTGCTGTCCCCGTGGCTGGCAGGGGAGGGGTGTGTTCCAGGGTTTCCCAGGCCTGGGGAGAGGGACCTGGTCCCTCACGTGGGGTGTAACTCAGTGTGCCCTCAATTAGGAGCTGTGGGGAGAGCCCCAGGTGGAAGGTTCCCACTGTCCTCCCTGGCAGGACATGAGCCCCTCTTTGAGCAGCCCTGAAGGGGACTCTGAGTCCCCAAGCACAGAGGAGTGGAAGGGACATCTGCCCAGGCCCCAGAAGGATGCCCTGCAGCCCACCCAGGACTGTCCTTCAGCTGCCCAGCCCAAACCGCGTGGAGGAGTGGCCTGAAGTGTAGCCAACTGCGGGAGGCTCGGACCCCAGTGCGCCTGACCACTCCTCTCCCACTCCGAGGGTCCCAAGGCAGGGAAGGACCACCCACCCAGGAGACGATGCTGCAGAGGGAGACACAGTCCCCGGAGCCCCAGCCACTCCAACAGCCCTGCAGGAGAGACGCCGTCCTTGGCGGGGGCGGGGGGCGCTGCTCCCTGAAAACCAGCAAGGAGGTGCTGCACCGGATGCTGACAGATGTACTCAAGGAGGCAAAGTGAGTGCTCAGCAGAGAGCCAGCCCCCTGTCCTGGGGGCCCCACGCCACTCAGCTCTGCCCTCCACCTCCTCTTCTGCCCTCCCTCCAGGATTTCCTCAGCAGTTTGGAGGGTGGGGAGAAGAGAGGTTGGCTCCCCTACCCAAGCTGTGACTCAGCGCCTGAAGCCCCACCCAGGTGAGGGGGCAAAAGAACAAGGGGCGGGCAGCTACAGGCCTGTCTGGGAGAGTCTGGAACCCCCCAGCCACATGCATCCCGGAGCTCTGGGGCTCTCCCCAGGCCAAGAGCATAGAGGCAGAGTCCCCCTTCTCAAGGCTGGGGCCACCTGGCCTAACATCACTGACCACATCCTCCAGCCTGGCCCCACGGGGGCCGGCCCCAGGCTGGCTGCCAGGAAGTCCAGGTTACACCCTCAGCAGCACCTGAGGGTGAGGGGACGGGGAACCTCAGGACAGCCTCAAACCCCTTAAATCTGAGCCCAACCCCAAAACCACCCAGTGCAGCTTCTGTGGCCCAGGGTCTGGGTGAATCTCTTCAGCCTCCACCCCAGGCCCGGCTGGCACTTTCCCGGGCAGCCCCTCCCTGCTGGAAGAAGCATGGCAAAGCCCAGGCAGCCGCCACCCCCATTGCGGGTGCCACAGGCGGAGCAGGCTGGTGTGGGAGGAAAAGTCCAGAGGGGAACCGGGTGCCGGTGCCGCCAATCTGACAGGGCAAGGGGGGCCTGGACCCCTCCACGCAGGAGGAGGAGGAGCATGAGACTTCTGAGTGAGGGTCCAGGGCGAGGATAGGGTGGCTCAGCCAGAACCAAGCCCCCAGCTGGGGCCCTGGAGGACAGTGGGCAGTGCTGGGGCCAGGACCGTGGGTGTCTGAGTTGCTCACGTCCCCTCCCTCAATCAGTGAGCAGCAGAAGATGGGAGAACAAAGAGGACCGCCCCCAGCCCCTCTGCTCAAGGCCTGGGGCCACTCTCTTGACCTCGCACCCCCAGCTGCCCCAGGCCTTTGTTGCTGACTCCCTTGTGAGGCAGTTGTGCAAGGGGCTGGCCCTAGGGATTCAGAGGTGGGAGCAGTGATGCTAAGGCCCACAGGAGCACCCACACATGGGTCCTCTTGCCGGCATGCCCCCAGAGACCCAGCACACGCGCGCGCGCACACACGACCACAGAGGCACTGTAGACATGCTCATGTGCAATCAAGCGTACATGCATGCAGTGGCACAGCACACACGCAGACGTGTGTACTCATGGATACTGTGCACACGTGCCTAGATGTGTACCACGGCTGGGATGCACAAGAACAAGAACAAACTAATAAGTGTGTTTAGTGCCGAAACTCATACGTTCACAATGAACACACAGTACGTACACAATGAACACACAGTCCGTGTACGTATCCACAGCAAGAGGCGACGCGTACACACGCTTGCAGGCACCCATCACTAGTCTACAGGCAGGCACCAAGCACCCCAGGGCAGGGGTGCAGCTCACCCACACATTCACACAGGGTCTGGCATCTCAAGGAAGGGTGCAGAGGGGCAGAGCTCACACGTGTACACCTGGCACACGGGAGGTGCTCTGTGAGGGGAGATGCACATGCATGGAAACATAGTGGACATGGATAAGCACTCCGGCACTCCCAGGAAGGTCAGAACACAAGCCCAGAGCTGAGCTCCCACCGGTCTGCTCAGCCCAGCCCCCACCCCTCCCAGCCCCCAGGTAGCCCCTGTCAGGCAGCCGGCCCCAGGCCCTAAATGTGGCTGCCGCTGCCTGTTCCCCCAGCACTGCTCTGGGCACACGGACCAAGGCAGATTCCAGGGACAAACGCCCCACGCACGCGGACAACCCCGGCCGGAGCCGAACTCCGGGCCCAGGAGGATGTCAGCCCCGCAAGTGGCCAGCGCGAAGGTGCAGACACAAAGCAGGGTGGACGCTCCGCGGGGAGGGGGCCGGCCGCCCCGCCCCCACGCACGCCCTGCGCGGTGCCCGGCACAGGGGCATCTTTTGTTCGGGTCCCGGGGCCGCGGCGCTGCGGGCGTTGTCCGGGCGGGTCCTCCAGCTCCCGTCTCCAGCTCCCGCGCCCCACAAAGGCGGCCCCGACGCTCCCGCCCGCGCCCGTCCCCAGCGGCCCGAGGAGTGGCCACTCCGCCGACCACAAAGGCCGCGGCGCCGCGGGCGCACCTGAAGCGCGGCGAGTCCTTGATGCACTCCTCGAACTCCACCGTCATGGCTGCGGCGGCGCGGCGCTCAGGGGCACAAGGACCGCGGCGCCCCGAGCTGCATCCCCGGCGGCCGGCCCGCTCCGCGTCCGCTCGCGCTGGACGCCC